CCCCAAAACCCCAAAACCCCAAAACCCCAAGTGAAGATGTGAATATTGAGAGAGAGGTAAATCAATTATGGAGCAATAACATGATTTATATCATTTATCAAATCGGGAGTTATTTTTGGACCCTTGTATTTATTGAATTCAGCTAATTGCTTCTCAACCATTATTGTGCTGAAAATAAACTTGTTATTTGTCATTTTCCAAATTTCTCTCTTTTTCAAAATCTCAGAAATTAAGTATTTTATCTTTTTATCATCTTCGAGCAGTTTCTTTTGCTTTAGCTTTATTGATTTACTATTGTAGAAATTTTTGACGATATGGTTAATATTTTTAATCAGATTTTTATTTGATGTAGGAGGTATCTGTACTGGTTCTGAATAATGTTCAAGAATTTTTTTAATAATTGTATAACAAACAGATCCATAAAGCTTGAAGTCGCCCTTGAGTTCATAGCCTCTCACTCTAAATTTATCTTTTATATCCTTTAGGCTTTGTATCAAGGGATCCAGTTGTTCAAAGTTAAACTTGACGCTGTAACTTTGAACCATTCTCTCTTTAGAGTCTCCAAATATATCTTTACTCCACATATCAAGGACAACTCCTGTCGTGACTTTATACTTTACTAGATAGTTTCTAACAAAGAGAAAGTAGTTTTCCTTCTGTGCTGCAGTCATCTTGTCCTTCTTGCTCTTCTTTGCTTTGTCCAGATGTTGGTTGACTAAATTTTCAAGAGAATTTATGTATTTCAAAGATTCATTCTCAGATGCTTTTATGAAGTGTTTGGGAAGCTTCTCAAGAAGTTCTATCAAAGAACTCTTGAAGACACTGTCATTTTTAAGCTTCTTCTCTAATTCTAACATTTCTGAATTATTTTTCAGAAGAATGATTTAATCCACTGGAGGGTTTTTGCAGATGATCCTCACCTTTCAGGTCATTAGTCCATGAGCAATTGCTAGTACTTGCTGTGGAAGGATCTGATGTATCTATGAATTTTCTATCTTTTGAGATATTTTCCAATGTATTGCTTAATATTGCTGGGTTTTTAGCTTGAGATCCAAAAATATCAGGCCTATGAAGCTCAAAATTCTTAATGTCATCAATTAAGCACGATGCTTTCTTCTGAGACACCAACCTTTGGCTAGAATGTTTCAAAATTGTTTGTATAAAATGCTTGTCAAAGAAATTGTTGTTGTTTGAATAGATAACTGTGACCCAAGAATCTCCTCAGGCCTTTCCCAGTTCGAAGAATATTGATTGAACCCCAATAATGTATTTAATCCTTTGTTCTATATATTCTCTTGTAGGCTTTGAAGATTCTAGAAGGTTATTCATAACTAGTAATTCGGCAGTATTAAAAATAGTCATAAGTCAAACTTGATACCATAAGTTTAATTAATGAAGAAGTCTCAAACCGGTGAAAATGAAAGTCCTCCTTCAGATAATAATATGCATTATTTTTGAGACTCTAAAAGTTTGAAAAATATGGAGATTTGGGAGACAGGCAGAGGATAGTGGTATTTGAAGGTTATTGTTACTAAATACTGAGCGAATTAGAATATCAATATTGTTCCATGAAACCCAAAAACGTTATTTTATTTCTAAGAACCTTTAAAATTTCAACAAAAGAAAGGCTCGTCATGCTCTAGATAATGTTTTTGGCTTACTACTTTTGTCTCAATAATTTTCTCCTCTTCTGATGAACAATTTCTTACTATCTTCTCAATTTTCTTAAGAATTGGATTATTAAAACTAGAGTAAAACAACACTCAAGCTTTCGGATCTAGAATTAAAATTACATCTATTCCAAAATGTTAAACTCTTACCTTCTATCAAAATCATAATTTCCTTAATAAAAAGATCCAAAGTTACTACCACATCCTCAAACTCCTCCTCTTGTACACTCTTCCTATCCTTCATTTCTTCACATTCCAAAACTTCCCTCTAAAATTCAAAATTACTCCCAGTCACCACACCCCCATCCCCCAAATCCCCCAATCCCCCTCACTCAACCCCACAAGTCCCAACTTCTCCCCCAAAAGTCTTCACGCCCAGTCAAAACTGAACTGCACAGGAACATATTGCTAAATTTCAGCAGGAACAGTAGCTCATTGGGTAGTAAGACCTGAGGGAGATTGGGGTAGGAAGAAGGTGGGTGCTGGGGAGGGGTTGGGGGTTAGGAGAGTTTGGATTGTAGAGGGGGTTTTGGGGGGGTTGGGGGAAGTTATGAATTAGAAGGCGAAGTATTATTGTGGTAGAGTGGTGTAGGGGAAGGATTAGAGTAGAAATTGGAATAGGCAGATGGTGGGAATGATTTTTACTGCACGAATTAAGTGAGCCTACGAAATTGCATTTAATTGGTATTTTTCCTCGTTTAGCAAGAAATATAATTATATGTAGAAAATACGGTTATTCGAAGAAATTCTGGTATGGGATTCTGGCTTAAACTTTGAGGTTTGGTAGCCCTGATAAATTTTAAACAAAATGACCTTGTTCTAAAGATTTCCAAGGCATTTATGTTAAGAAAAATAAAAAAAATTATCATAAGTGATAATTATTTGTTGAAAATTTTCAAAAATTTTGATACAGAGTTGCGAATTAGAGAATTAATTGATTCAGAGTTTAACAGAACCTTTGTAATTTTGAGAAAACTTAAAAATATATAGAAAAGACAGTCATATAAAGTTTATGTATACTCAGCTCTGATTTTGCAAATATATAGATTTCTTTGGCAGCAAAGAGAAGCTCTGAATATTTCTACCCATTAAATTGCATTATTATTGTTCCTACCAAATTTTTACTTACCGTGAACTCCCAATTGATGTTGTCTAAGTCGACCACTATATTCTTCCGAGAATTCATTTCTATATAAAATTATATAATTTAAACTGCGATCTTTATTCGGGGTTTTGGGGTTTTGGGGTTTTGGGGTTTTGGGG